TTGAGGTTGCTTTGTACATCATGAGTGGCTTTTTTTCTTGCTGCTTTCAGAATTCTCTGTTTGTCAACAATTTGATTATGATGTTTCTTGGTGTGGATCTCTTTGTATTAATCCTATTTGGAGTTCATTGAATTTATGAGTTAAATTCATGTCTTTCATTAAATTTGAGAAGTTTTAGCTATTATTTTTTCAAATATTCTTTCTGCCCCTTTCGCTCTCTCCTCTCCTTCTGTTACTCCTATTATGCATATATTAGCACATCTGATGTGCCCTATACGTGTTTTAGGCTCTGTTCCTTTTTTTTCATTCTTATTTTTTCTGCTCCTCAGAACCAATAATTTCAGTTGACGTATCTTCAAGTTTGCTGATTCTTTCTTCTTGTAGAGGTTCATGGGATGCTGATGCTGATCAGGGAAAGAGGTATGACCACAAGGGGTACTAACACACAACAAATTTTATTGTGTGGTACATGGTCAGGGTTACATGAGAGGAAAAGACAAAAGCCTTTTACAGTGTGAGACTGTACAGAGGCTTATGGCAAATGGATTACAATCCAGAAGGGGAAGGGGGCAGGGAAACTCCTGGGAGAAAGGGGAGTCTGAAAGGGGGCTTATGTGCCTACACAAGTCTTTCATCAGTGTGATGGGGAGTCTCTGGGTCAGAGAACTCCAAGGGCAGCAGCATCTTGGGGTCTTAATACTGTAAGACTGCATCTTATCAGTAGGTGACAGTTATCAGAGGAGGGCTTGCAGGATATTCAAAACAGGCAGGCTCTAAATGGCTAAAAGTTTGCTGTTTGGGCTATTTTGAAGATAATTTGATGTGTAAAAGTTTGAGTTTGGCACTAGTGGGCTTTTCAGCTAATGAGTTTTAGCCTGTAGTGAGAAAATAACCTAGGGGCCAATACACAGACACCATCTTTGGCTAATTTATATAACACTTCTGCCTGCTCTAATCTTCTGTTGAATCCCTGTAGTGAATTTTTCATTTTAGTTATTCCAGAATCTTTATTTGGTTTGTTTCCATAATCCTGATTTTTTATTAATAGTATCTCCTTGGTGAGACATCTCTATTTGATTCTCATGTTTTCCTTTATTTTTTATTTTTTTATTATTTATTTTTTTTCTGCTGCTGGGCAATATAGATATTGAACCCTTGACCTTGCTGTTATCAGCACCATTGACCTTGCTGTTATCTAACCAACTGAGCTAACCAGCCAGACTTTTCTTTAGTTCTTTATACATTGTTTTCTTTAGCTATTTGAGCATATCTTAAATTGTTGATTTATTTCTTGATCCAGTAAGTCCAATGTCTGGGCTTCCTTATAGACAGTGTCTATTATTAATGTTTTTTTTTTCTTGTGGATTGGCCATGCTTTCTTGTTTCTTTGCTTGTATCACGTGTGTGTGCATATAATATATATTTTATTATATATGTAATGTGTATAATATGTATTATATTGCATATTATGTATTTTATTATATATATGTATTTTAAACTGGATAGTGTGAATATTATAATGTGGCAACACTGGAAATCAGATTCTGCCCGCTCCCTAGGACTTCTTGTTGCTGCTTGTGGTTGCTGCTTTATGTTTGTTAGTAAATTTTCTGAGCTAATTTTGTAAGGTCTGTGTTCTTTGTTGTATGTGGTCACAGAAGTCTGTGGTTAGCTTAGTGATTCAGTAGTGATTTGACAGAGATTTCCTTAAATGTTGAAATTCAGCTGCCTTTTTCTTGATTCTTTTCCTGGTTGATATAAACTTTTTATTAGTTTCTAGAGTTTCAATACAGTTGATCTTGACAGTTTTTGTCAATTTATTAATGGTTTTTATGAAAGAGCAGACTTTTGTAATTCCCTCTTCTGTCATTTTCACTGATGTCCTCCCATACTTCTAAGTAACCCATATATGAAGGAAGACATCACAAAGAAAATTAGAAAATATTTTGAACTGAATGAAAATGAAAAAGACTACATACCAACATTTATGAGATGCAGCTAAAGTAGTGATTAAAAGGAATTTATAGCTTCATGTGTTTATATTTTAATGCTGCGGTCAGCAAACTATCACTGTGTGCAGGCCAAATCTGCTGCCAGTTTTTGTTAATAAAGATTTATCAGCACAGAGCCATGCACATTCATTTATGCTTTGTCAATTACTTCCATTGACAATACATAAATAAATGTGCATGGCTTTGTGCCAATGAAACTTTATTTGGTTCTCTGGCCAGAAAGGTGGAGTCTTTTTTAGAGATTCAGCACCCTGTGCTACTGCTGTGTAGTTTTACATGACTGGGGCTGCTTTCATTGCGAAGTGGTAGACAAAAGTAATGGCAATTCCTTGCATACTCTTTGGACCACAGAGTTCCCTCCCCTGGTTCTTTTGGGCGAAAAGATGAATTTAATTTTGGGGTTTTAGGTTCCTGCACAATGCCACATTGCAGCCCTGCTACTGGGGCAACATTTGGGACATGGCCAGTAGGGGAAAAAAGAGAATGAAAAGAAAACCAAAAATGGAGATATTCATTTTCAAGACACTCTCTGTCTTGCAGAAACCTGTTCCTCTGGTCCAGAAAGATGGCTTTTTTTCTCTGCATTTTTCTTGACTGCCTGATGGGCAGTTCTGCACAGGGTCCACCCTCAATCCCAAGCTAGGGGATAAAAGGGAAAAGAACCCCAGGAAACTCATCCCTGTTATTTGTCATTCTTCAAATTTTGGCTACCCTCTGGAATCCATTTATTATTAACCTTTTAGAGTCCTAAGGTAATTAATCGCTTTTAGTATGTCCAGAGGTTTTAGTTGTAATGAGTGTGAATGAGAGACGGAGTTGGGTATACTCCATCTTTGCTTGCATTGGAGGCAAATTCACTAGGTGATTCTTAAGCATAGTTTATACTTCTCACTGGACCCTTTGGGGGAAAAACAGTGATTGTCAAGGGAAGGCAATTATTTTCCCAAAGCTCAAGATTTAAACATACTAGAGATTCTAGCTTAGATGTCTACACGTTTTTAATATACCGAAGTAAATCATTTTAGGTCATAGTTATGTGAGGAATCATTTGTTTACTACTTAATCCGTTCCAAATACCATTCCAAAAATTATCTGTTCTCTTTTAGTTCTTACAATAACCCTAATTAGGTAAATACTATATTATTCCTATTTTAAAGATAAGGAAATTGAGGTACAGAAGTTAGGTAATTTGCCCAAGGTAACATAGATAGTAAATAGTAATGCCATGATTCAAACCTAAGATAAGGCAATTTAGCGTTAGAGTCCATGTTCTTTTTAAAATTTTCACTTAATGTTTAGGAAATTTTTACACACAAACCAAAGTAGAAATGAACCCCCTTTATATCCTTCACCCAGTTTAAACAGTTTTCAGTGTTCAACCTTTTGTGTTTTTTGTTTCACCAACTTTTTCTGGTTTTCAATAAAGTATCTGAAAGCAAATTCTAGATATCATTTCAGCCATAAACACTTAAGTATGTGTTTAAAGTGGATAACAGCTTTTTAAAAATAATATTACCATATTATGCAGGAATGAATACCAAGCCATTAATAATAATTACCTCTGAAGTGGGTACTGGGATGTGGTGGTGAATATTGTGCAAAGGAACCTTAATGATTTGCTTTATATACTTCTATCTTGTATGAATTGTGAAAAATGAGAATATATTCATGTACTATTTGTGTAAAAATGATTTAAAAAGAAAAAAAATATTACCATAGTATTAATGGAACTACAATATAATCACAACCTAACAAGTGAGGAATAATTTTCTTTAAATCTAATATCTATTTTGTATTCAGTTTTGTCTATCTCAGAAATATTTTCTTATAGTTGGTTCAATTCAGGACCTCAGTAGGGCCAAATACTGTATTTGTTGATATAGCTCTTAATTTTCAAAAATTGGCCCTAACCATCTTTTTATGATTAACTTTTTAATATTCTTTTTAAAGAATTATTTTTAAATTATTTTTTAAAATAGCTTTTTATTTTGGGGTTAATTTTATTTTTTATGGTATATGTGAGGATACTTCAACAAGTTCATGGAGAGATCTTATTATCTTTTAATTCTATTTTTCCATGAACTTCATATTTAAGGTGTATAACATGATGTATTGATACGAAATAATTTTAGGTTTGTAGGAAAATTGAAAAGATAGTACAGAAAGTTCCCCTATACTCCACACTCAGTTTGTTCCCCCTAATTTTATTATCCTACATTACTGTGGTGTATTTACCAACACTGTGAAACCAGTGTTGTTACATTACTATTAATTAGACTCTAATCTTTATTTAGATTTCACCAGTTTTTCCATTAATGTCCTTTTCTGTCCCAGGATTTGATTCAGGATTTCGTTAGTTGTTATTTCTCTCTAGTCTCCTCTAGATTGTGATGGTTTCTCAGTCTTTCCTTGAAGGTTTTTCATGACCTTGAATTTTTTGAGCAGTCTTGATCAGGCATTTTGTAGAATGTCCCATACTCGATGTATATGTTTTTCTGAGGATTAAATTGGTGTTATAGGTTTCTGGAAAAAGATGCCATAGAGGTAAAGTACCTTTCTTATGATTTATTTATTTTTTTCTTTTTTGCTTAAGTCATATATAAAAAGTTCCCAAAGTCAAAATGTAAAACCAGAGAAATCTCATTTTCATTCCCTTCTCCTTACTGTTTTTTTCTTCCTTTCTCAGTAGGTAAGCACTTTTGTTAGTTTTTGGTTTATCCTTCCAATCTTTTTTTTAAAAAATATAAATACACACATACATACTAGTATCCCCTTGTTTTCTTCCCCTCCCGTTCTTACACAGTAGATAACATCAGTTCATGTTCTCAGCTTCTGTACAACATACTTCTCTAACAATGAATTTTCCAATAATGGCCTCTTATATTCAAGATGGTTTTCAAAAAGTTTATTTTTCCTAACTAATAAAAACGTTTCTCTATGAATTGAAAATGTGTAGCACATACTATATGATTTCATTTTTATTCACAGATATTTTCCAATTTGTCCCTGGATGAGCGTTGCCTTTCTGCATCATTGGTTTGCAAGTATTGGCGTGACCTTTGTTTAGATTTCCAGTTTTGGAAGCAGCTGGATCTTAGTAGTCGTCAGCAGGTATGGAATCTAATTCTAAGAAACACTTAATTTGACCTACTCAATTAAAAAATATCTTTGTTCTCTTTGAAAATCTCTTCCATGTTATTGCTTTTCAAGATAGTTAAAAAAAACCATAATCTATAACTTTGTGCTTTCATAATTTTTTTTTTCAATTCAAGTTAAGGTAGGTTTTCATGATAAACAAGATAGTTTTTAGTGTAAATTGGTAATTTAGGGTTGTTTTTTAATCCTCTTTGTCTTCCCCCTTTTTTCATTGCCTTTTTAAAAAAGTTATTAAACTTTTTCTTTTTTGTGGGAGGTCATATCATGAATATTAGTTTAGCGGGAAATGATGGCAAACATTGCTTCTGTGCCATGTACTGTTCTAAGGGTTTTGTATAGGTTAATTCATTTGATCCTTCCAGCAATCCCTTGAGTAGATACTACTATTTTCTCTGTTTTGTAGATGAAGAAATAGAAGTAAAATGAACTGAGATAACTTTTTTTAAAACTTTCCTTTTGATGGATTTTCTAATTCTCCCATTGCCCAGCTATGCACTTTGTTTATAGGGTATCATAAATTAGGAAAAAAGAGCTTATAGTGATTATTGCAAACAGTTCGTTGGACTTGTTGGATTCATGCTTTAAAACTTTAGTAGTCAGTATTTGGTATTAGAAATATGTAAAAATATCCAATAAGAATAGAATTTTATTGGAGTATTATACCTGCTCTGAATCCTTCCATGGTGTGTTACCAGTAGTGTGCAGGTAAATTTTTAACAACTGGCTTTCAGACAAAAAAGGCCTGATTTGTAATACAGTCATGTGCTGCATAACTATGTGTTGGTCAGTGAAGGACTGCATATTCTGTGGTGGTCCCATAAGATTATAATAAAGCTGAAAAATTCCTACTGACTAGTGGTGTTGTAGTCATAAGGTAAAAATGCAACACATTACCTTTTCTATGTTTAGATACACAAATACTTACCATGGTGGTATTGTTGCCTATAGTGTTCAGTACAGTAACATGCTGTGTACTATGCAGGTTTGTAGCCTAGGAGCAATAGGGTATACCATATAGCATAGGTATGTAGTAGGCAATATCATCTAGGTTTGTGTAATATACTCTATGATGGTTGCACAACAATGAAATTGCCGAACAATGCATTTCTCAGAATATATCCCTGTTGTTAAGCAATGCATGACTGTATTTGCCGATTTCTGTGGTATAAATACTCTCACTGTAGCGGATTTCAGGCTACACATATGATGCCATTGAATGCAGATTTGGAAAGAGATATACACTACAGGCTCTTGTAAGTTAGTACAAGCCAGCTCCAACACACCACTGGTAGTACGTGTGTTTATGTGTATATAACACACCCACTTCAAGCAAATTAAGCAAGTTTCAGAGCATTTGTGTATAAGTTGTTCTCTTTCTGGTTTTCTGCCTCATTGGTAAGAGGTTAAAACAATTACAGAATTAGTTATTCACCTGCTTGGGTTCATGAAACTGTGTCCAGGGAGAATAGTTGAGAAGTTAGTTGTGGGTAGTAGAAGTGGAGAGAAGGTAAGTGTGAAGTAATTCATTGGCTCTTTACTTCATTATTCTTGGATCCCTGAGCTATTTATTATGAACTCAGACTAAGAATACCTTTTCCTCTCTGCTGTAAGTGAGGTTTGGAGATGAAAAAATAAAAGGAGAGGTGTGTCAGGGTTTAGCTTTTCAAGGAACTGTTTGTATTTATGCTGTTTCCAATGAGCATAAACAAAGATTGTTTCATCTTTGACTGTTATTCCTAGTGCTGCTCAACTCTCCAGTTCTTTCCTTCTTCCATTTTAAATTTCATGTGTATTTTTTCTTCATTATTTTTATCCAAAGGAATTGAATAAACTTGTATTATTCGTTTTGTGTGGCTTATAGAAGAATACCTGAAACTGGGTAATTTATAAAGAAATGAAATTTATTTCTTACAGTTTTGGGGGCTGGGAAGTCTAAAGTGCAGGGAACACATCTGGTGAGGTCCACCTTCTTGGTGGGAACTCTACAAAGTCTTGTGGTGAACAGGGTATCACATAATGAGAACAGGCTGAGCAAGAGAACTAACCTGCTCACTTGCTTTCCTTTTAAAGCCATCAGAACCATGCCTATTACTCCATCAATAGATCAATCCATTCATGAGTATAGTCCTCACAATCCAATCACCTTTTAAAGGCCCCACCTTTCAAATATCATAATTGGATTTCCCACCTTCTTAACACTGTTACAATGGAGATTAAGCTTACAGCACATGAACTGTTGGTGGACGCATTTAATCCATAGCAAGACTTACCTCTTTTCCCTTTTGGAAATGTGGTAATTGGTCAGGTAATATGTACAGCCTGTTTTTTTTTGTTGTTGTTTAAATTAAGGTGACCATGTGAATTTTTTCCCCAGATGAATGTTAAGGTTACTTATGCTTAGCATTGAGTCTGCTAAGAAAAGTTTTTTGACATGGACATTTCTATATAGTCTTTGGTATTTTGATATACTAAATGATATATTTTCTAAGCTACAAATTAATTATATGTGAGGTGGTATTTTGATAGAAGTAGTAAAACAATTGACATTTATATATTGTGATATCTGATATCAAGTGTACAAAAATCCAAATTCATACATCATGATGACTGATGTACAGTATTTGCTAGGTTAAAAAGAGAACAAAACATTTAAAATCTCAATATAGTTTTGTTTGGTGAGTTTTTGGTGATTTTGAAGGCTTAATTAAAGTGAGTTTTCCCCATAAGAACAGATTTTTTTAGGCTGTTAATAAAAACTAACACATATATTTTTCCTTGGTGTTTTGTGACACCACTTCTGATACCAAATGTGTGGAGTCTTTTTCACAATAACAACCAATTCTCAGACATCAACTGGGTGTCCAACAATTCAATTCAGTTCTGACACTAACTTCCAGAGTTAGTGCAGACACCACAGGTTAAGGGTTCATTCCCATAAGACTGCCCCCACTTCAGATGTCAGTTGCAAATATTAGGAGTCACATGTACTTCTGACCAACTTGCTATAAATTCTGAAGTTCCCCCAGTCACCTCCTTAGGTTTGTTTATTAGCTTAAACTATTCACAAAATTCAAGAAAATACTTATGTATACTGGCTTATTATAAAGGATACAACTCAGGACCAGCCAAATGGAAAAAGATGCATAGGGCAAGGTATGGGATGTGCCAACCTCCCAGCATTTTCATGTTTTTACCGACTGAATCTTGTTGTTCAGGAGTTTTAAAACCCAATCTCTGTCCCTCCTCTCCTTCCTGGAGGTTGGAGGTAGGCTGAAGGTTACCACCCTCTTCTAATCATGTCTTTTTTTCTGGTAGCCAGCCCCCATTCTGAGTACCTCATTAATGTAAACTCAGATGTGATCAAAGGATGAATATGAATAATAGACATTCTGTCACTCAGTAAATTCTGAAGGTTTTAGGAACTCTGTACCAGGAACTGGGGACAAAGACCAAATATACTTTTTATTTTACCGTGATTCTGTTGTGAATTAATATTAAGAAGGCTTTTCTTTTGATTGTTTTTTTACACTATAATCTAATTTTTATTTATTGTGGGAAAATTTAATTAAAAAAATAGAAAAATTTCTACTTTTAGCAAAAGTTAAAATAATTGTTTCTTTTTCTCTCATAGGTCACTGATGAATTATTGGAAAAAATTGCATCAAGAAGTCAGAATATAATTGAAATCAACATTTCTGATTGTCGTAGTATGTCTGATACTGGTGTATGTGTTCTAGCATTTAAGTGCCCTGGACTGCTTAGGTATACAGCCTACAGGTGTAAACAGCTTTCTGACACCTCTATTATTGCGGTTGCCTCTCACTGTCCTTTACTTCAGAAAGTGCATGTAGGCAACCAGGATAAACTTACTGATGAAGGACTCAAACAGGTAAATTTTTAGCATCTATAGAATGATTTTACTTTTATTAATTCAAAATGTTTTTTCTTGTAGAAATGCTTTGAAAGATTGTTATGTTAAAAATAATGCTCAGAGACTAAAGTGAATCACCTTTTTTATGTATCAATAAATATTTGTTTAGATTAGTGAACAAATTTTATGTATCAATGAATATTTGTTTAGATTAGTGAATAATCAGTAATTTAACTTTGCTGTGTTTTGTAGTGACAGTGTAAACTTCTGTGATCAGCTATTTTATTAATTTATGCTTTTGTTACTTACATTTTGTACCAAATTTTGCTTTAGGTAAAAATATGCAGTTTGGGTCAGCATGAGGTTTTAAAAATTAACTTTTAATTCCCCTTTTATATTATTAGATGACATGCTTTAAAATGAGTATTTTAAGGCATGAATGGAAGGCCAAATTGAAGAGTACAAAATGAATAAAAAGGTGGTAATTACCTATATTTGGCACAATAATTGGATTAAAAATAGTATTATACATACTTTATATTTAATACATTTCCTTTGGAAATGGCTTTTAAGGTTTTTTGACTCAGTGAATTATTCATTCATGAATGAAGACCTTTAAATTTAAACATTACATATGAATTAAATGAAAGCTCAATATTAAAAGAAATTTGGGAAGGCTTCATTTTAAATAGTGAGAACTTTTATATGTTAAGAATGTTAACAGTTTATAAGAGGGCCTATTTCATCTACAAAGGCAAATTGTACAATAGTAGTTTTACTTGTTTTAATATATTTTCCTGATCCATTTCTGCTATGTATGAGCAGGATTATTTACTAGCAAACCATTTTACAAAGTTCTTAAATTTATTAAAATGAAATAACCTTTTATTGGAAATATACATTTTTATAGATGTAGCATGATTTTATTTATTTTGACAGAAATTTTTCAACAATTTATACTTCGTAATGAAACATTTTTAAAAGGTCTATGTATTTATTAATAACTGGGATAAATGTTTTACCTTTTTAAATCTGATGTAACACAAATAGGTACCAGTTTAGCAGACTACTGAGGGTGTTCCTAGTAATATTTGTGAAAAAAAAAATCATACTTATAGTGGACATAAAGGGAAACTAGAACATTCTTTAAGGAGCAAAACTTTGTGTGCCAATCAAGTATTATGAATTTATCTAATATTTACAACTTTGCACTGATTAGGTAATCTTCCCTAGAATGTGAGGTATTTGGGAACTTTTTAACATACTTAGATTAGATGTTTGGTTCAGATTTTTGTGAAATTTGTGGTTTCTGAATTACGAATTAGATATGTGTGAGGTAATATTCTGATTGAATTAGTGGAGTAGTCTAAATCTTTCTCCCCCTTAGGTAATTTTTTTTTTTTTTGTGAGTAATTACATAGGAATCTCATTGCAGTGTAGAAAGTAATATTTTCTTGAACTTAAGACTGTGCTATAGCAAGGTGTGTCCTATAGTAGGCTCTTTCTTCTGATGGGATAGTGTTATGGGTATAGTAGAAAGAGAATGGCTTTCATATATACATAAAGTAGAAATAAGGTTTTATGAAGCAATACATATTCTTATATGCAGCGAACATTGATATTATGTATTCTATTCTATATTACTATGTTAAATAAATGCGGGCTTTGACCCACTCATTAGTTTAATTTCATGAGCCAATGATATTTGATAAACCTTGCTGTGGAGTATATTACAGTTTTGGTAAACTAACAACTTAAAAATGTATAAGACAGTTGCAAAAGCCTAGAATGGAACTATTCATGATTGAAGAATTTCCTTGGCATGATTTTTATTTTCTTGAACTCATTAATTTAGCAATTGACTGAATTGTTGATTCTGCAGGTCAAGTTGTAGGGTTTTGTTTTGTTTTTCTTCTTCTGTCAGTAAAAACTGGCAGATGTTTTAGAATGGTATACATGTATTTCCTTGATAATGTCTTTAAAATATATTTCCTTCATAACTGGTGTAATTTTGATTGATTTTAGCAAATAGCAAATGAGTGTGCTTTTTAAGTTGTATCAGTGTGTTTACCAGAACAGTTAAAGCATTTCAGCTTGAAGCACTAATGTATCTAGAATTTAACATTTTAAGTATTGGATTCTGCTTAGCAATGTTTCTCAAACTTGTGTCAAAGCACCTTAATGTTAGGCTGTTTTGGGCCAAATACCATCTTCTTTGTGAAATACCACCTTGAAATATTGATATTTTTATTTCCCTAAAAGTCACCCCAAATAAATTTTACCAGTGGAACATATTTGTATTATACACATCTTACAAAACTACAATCATGTATCTATGGGAAAAAAAGAGTTATTTAGTTAAGAATAATAGGCTGTATCAGTTTTCCTGATATTTTGTTGTCAACTAGCACTTGCCAACAAAAAGTGATAGTAGTAGTTGAAGTAATAAAATAAATCTAAGAAATTGTATCCATTATGTTACAATTTTATGACTAATTGTATTTGATTTTAGCAATTTAACGCTTCAATGCAATTTATGGAGCTCAGTAGAAATTTCTGGAAAAAAGTCACTGTAGTCTTCCTTCATATTAAATGGTACAAAAATAATGTTTTATTAGTAAATTTCAATCTGGTATACTATGAGTTTATAGGTTTTTAAAAATAAATATGTAGAGTGGCATCAACAAAATGCTGGGATAAGTAGCTCCAAAACATCCCTCTACAGAAACATTGCAAAACCAGCCAAAACTGTTAGATCTGAACACTGAACCAAGAAACAGACAACTAAAAAATGGAAGGAATGCTTTGTGGCTTTTCTACTTGCCTGTTCCATGCCCACCCCCCACCCCTTGACATAAGTCTTGAAGATAGTGGCCTGTATTCCCAGTGTGGGACCCAGGTCCCTTGTTCCAGAGGGAGTAGAGCAGACCTTATTTGTAAATTATTGTGTCTGTCTCTCCTAACCTATCTGGGAACCACTTGAAGGGCTGATGTAAGTGCTCATATATCTGTTTTACTTAATTTAGAACCCAGTCAGGGAGGAAAAGCAGTGGATGTTGATGGAAAACATTGTAAGGTAGATGAAAAAACCTGCAGCTGCTTTGGGCAAATGATTATAGTGAGACATACACTAGATCTCTTGAGGCTTGGAAGGAAAAGTGTGTGAGAGTTTCTTTAGAAAATTAGGGCAATCAGAGCACCAGTGTATACAGGGGAATTTAGAAAGCCACATGTATGCCCAGGGCAGTGTACATGCTCAGGAAAGACCTAAGAAGAACATATTTTTATCACTGGCTCTTCTGTAGGCTCTGTGTATGCAGGAAGTGAAGGCCAAGGCAGAGCTGTAAGTGTTAAGGAGTACTGCAGCACAAAGCCAGTCTGCAAAAACTAGGAGAAATGTTTTTGATTTTTGTTTTTTGTTTTAGTTTGTTTTACTTGGAAGCTTTTGGCATTCAAGGCAATCTCTTTTAAAACACTGGCTGAACACAGGCCTGAATAATGAAAAACAGCAAACTTTGGAGGAGTGGGGAAAAAAACAGCAAACTTTGGAGGAGTGGGGAAAATGTGATTTCTCAAGTTTACCACATTATTGTAATTCTAATGCCTTGTTTTCAACAAAAAAAAATCACAGGGCATGCAAAGAAGCAGAGTATGGCCCACTGAAAGGAAAAACTAAATTGACGGAACTTCTCCTTGAGTAAATCTAGACATTGGACTTACTAGATGATTTTAAATCTATTATCTAAATGTGCTCAAAGAACCAAAGGAAACCATGCAAAGAACCAAAATAAAAATAAAAAAAAAAAAATAAGGAAAAATGATGTATGAACAAAATGAGAATATCAATAAAGAACTAGAAATTGTAAAAAGAAGCAAATAGAAATTATGGAGCTGAAAAGTACAATAACTGAAATAAAAAATTCACTAGAGGGATTCAACTGCAGATGTGAGCAGATAGAAGAATCAGTAAACCTAAAGATAGGACAATTGAAATTATTGAGCCTGAGAAGAGAAAAGAAAAAACAGTGAAGAAAATGAACAGAGCTTAAGTAACCTGTGGGACATCATCAAACAGAACAGCTTTTGTATTAATAGTAATTCTAGAAGGAGAATAGAGAAAGGGCCAGAAAGAATAGATGAAGAAATAATGGCCAAAACTTCCTAAATTTGTTGAAAGCCATATCTAGGAAGCTCAACAAACTCAAGCAGGATAATTTCAATGAGCTCTACACTGAGATACATTGTATATAATTGTCAGAAGTCATAGACAGAGAATCTTGAAAGCAGCAACAGATAAGTGATTTGCCATATACAGGGCTCCTCAATAAGATTAACAAAGTGATTTCTCATCAGAAACCATAGAAGCCAGAAAGCAGTGGGCTGATATATTTAAAATGCCAAAAGAAAAAAAGTCCATCAAGAATTTGATATCTGGGGCCGAGCCCGTGGCGCACTCAGGGGAGTGCGGCGCTGGGAGCGCAGCAGCGCTCCCGCCGCGGGTTCGGATCCTATATAGGGATGACCGGTGCACTCACAGCACTTCACTGGCTGAGCGTGGTGTGGCCGGTCTCAAAAAGTACAAAAAAAAAAAAGAATTTGATATCTGTTAAAACTATTCTTCAAGAATGAAGGTGACATTAAGATATTCCCAGATATGGAAAAGCTAAGGGAATTTGTTACTAGTAGACCTGCCCAACAAGAAATGCTACAGGGAGACTTTCAGGTTGAAATAAAAAGACACTAGACAGTGGTTGAAAGCCATATGAAGAAAAAAGAACACTAGTGAACCTACATAGTTTGAAAGTACAAGGATGGAAAAAGATATTTCATGCAAATAGTAAGCAAAGGAGCTTGAGTGGCTATTTTATTATCAAACAAAATAGATTTTAAGTCAAAAAAGTTTGTAAGAGACAGAAAGCGTCATTAAATATGGATAAAAATTTCAGTCCATCAGGAAGATGTAACAATTATAACCATATATGCACCTAGAAAAAGAATCCCTAAATCAATGTAGCAAAAATTGAACGACTTGACTGGAGAAATGGACAGTTCTACATTAATAGTTAGAAACTTCAGTAACTCACTTTCAATAATGGATAGAACAACCAGATAGAAGATCAATGAAGAAATAGAGGACTTGAACAGTACTGTAAACCGATTATATCCAACAGACATGTACACTATTCTGTTCAACAGATGAAGAATACACATTGTTCTCAAGTGCACATGGAACATTCTCACAAACAGATCATATGTTTGATCACAAAACAAGTTTTAATTTAAAAAGATTGAAGTCAAAGTGTCTTCACTGGTCATAATGGAATGAATGTGGGAATCAGTAACAGGAGGATAACTGGGAAATACATGAATATGTAGAAATTAAACATACTTATATACAACCAATGGGTCATAGAAGAAATTACTAGGTAAATTAGAAAATATATTGAGATGAATGAAAATGAAAAAACAACATACCAAAACTTATGAGATGCAGCAAAGCAATGCTCAGAGGGAAATTTATAGCTTTGAAAGCTTACATTAAAAAAGAGTTAAGTTCTTAAATTAGTAATGTATGCGAATACCTGCAGGAATTTGAGAAAGAAGAGCAAACTAAGCCCAAAGCTAGCAGAAGGAAGGAAATCATAACCTGAGCAGAGATAAACAAAATAGAAGAACAGAAAAATTATAGAGAAAATTAATGAACCCAAAACTAGATTCTTTGAAGAGATCAACAAAACTGACAAACCTTTAACTATATTGACTAAGAAAAGAAGAAAGACTCAAATTACTAAAGCATAAATGAAAAAGAAGACATTCCTACTGACTTCACATAAGTAAAAGGATTATATGAGAAAACTATGAATAACTGTACACCAACAAATTGGATAGCTTAAATGAAATGGACAAATTCCTAGAAATAAAAAACTACAAAAACAACTCAAGAAATAGGAAGTTTAAATAGACTTACAAAAAGTTAGGAGATTCGACCAGTTAAAAAAAATCCTCCCCTTAATTTTGCTAAACATTTAAATTGTCAGAAAAGACCCAACTACATGTTTCCCACAAGAAGCCTACTTTAAAATAAAGAAATATTTAGATTAAAAGTAAATAAAGATACCGTGCTAACACTAATCAAAAGAAAGCAGGATAAGTTTTATTAATTTCAGACAGAGCAGATTTCAAAGCAAAGACTGTTATTAGGGATAAAGGGAGGCTTTATATAATAATAAAGGGATTAAAGTTCCAAAAAGACATAGCAATCCTTAATGTCTATGAGCCTAAAACAGAGCATCAGAATATGTGAGGCAAAAAATAGTACAATTCCAAGGAGAAATAGATGAATTCACTGTTATAGTTGGAGACTCCTATCATGCAATCCAGCAAACATGCTACTTAATATTTACTCAAAGAAGGTGAAAAATTATGTCCACAGAAAAACCTATACACAGATGTTTATAGAAGCTTTATTCATAACTGCCAAAACTTGGAAGCAACCAAGATGTCCTTTAGTAGTTGAATGGATAAACTGTGGTACATACAGACAATGGAATATTATTCAGCATTAAAAAATGAACTAGGAGAAGACATGGAGGAATGCTGAGTGTGTACTACTAAGTGAAAGAATCTGATATGAAAAGGCTGCATGCTGTATGATTCCAACTGGAATCATAGACATTATGGAGAATGCAAGACTATGAGAATAATAAAAAAGATCAGAGGTTGCCAGGGGTTATAATGGAAGGGGAAATGAATAGGTAGAGTACAGAGAATTTTTAGGGCAGTGAAAATACTCTGATGCTATAATGGTAGATACATGCTGTTATATATTTGTCCAAACCCGTAGAATGTACATCAGGAGTGAACCCTAACATAAACTATGGACTTTGTCAATAAGGTTTTATAAATTTTAGGAAATGTACCACTCTGGTGGGGGATGTTGATAATAGGAGAGAATACACATGTGTGGGAGCAGGGAGTACTTCTATATAGGAAATCTCTGTACCTTCCTCTCAATTTTGCTATGCACTAAGTAAAAGTAGTCTTAAAAAGGAAAATATGGAATATTCACAAAAATTAGCCTTAAACAAAATTTCAATTAATTCCAAAGTGATATGAATAGGCAGTAAAACTAAATTAAGAGAGAACTGTAAATTGAGAGAAAAAGGAAGTACTTAAAAACAATCCTTTGGAAATGTTAAAGTAGAAGTAAAAATTACAATTATAAACTTAAAAGAAAACTGGTAGTAGCTATAATAACTTCAGACAGAACAGACTTTAGAGCACGGAAAGTGGTTATTAGGGATAAAGAGGGGACATACATAATGATAAAGGGGACAATACTCTAAGATGACATAATACTCCTTAACTTGTGTGCACCTAACAACAGTGTCAGGATATGTGAAGCAAAAACTGTTAGAACCACAAGAAAAACAAAACCAAACCAAACCATGAATCCACTGTTACAGTTGGAGACTTTAATATCTTTCTATCAGAAATGGACAAATCCAGCAGGCAGAAAATCTAGTAAGGACATAGTTGAACTCAACAACATTATTAATAAGCTGGATATAATGGACATGAATAGACTGTTTCATTCGACAAAAGCAGAATATGCATTCTTCTCAAGCTCAAATGAATCATTCAGCAAGATAGACCACATATTCTGGGCCATAACACACACCTTAAGAAATTTAAAAGAACAGAAATCTGAAGCACTCTTCCCCAGTAACTAGCTGAACTTCACATGCTGATATTGTCTGCAGAGGTCATCCACATGGTCCTTTGTTTGGTTACCTGCCTCTTTGAAGGTCATGTGACCCTTGCCTCTATGAAAAGTCATTTTCTTGTAAATTAAGCCACCAACACTATTTGTTAATGTGGAACATCGTGGCATATGAGGCCACAATCATGGTTTCCTATTTAGTCCATTTTAAAGAGGCTTCTTCACAATGCATAACCCTTATTAGCCTTTTCATTCACTCAACAAATATTTATTGTGTCAACTAAGTGTAAGACACTGTGCATCAGAGATATGTTATTTAACAAAACATACAACCTTCTGTCTTCATAGATTTTACATTTCTACAGGAGTATATAATTGGTTATAGTGTAGCCTAGATTAGAATAACAGTTTGTAAAAATAAGTCATATATTTCTGATAATATCAATATTTAAAACAGAACTCAGGCTTTTTTAAAAATTACAAAAGTAATATTTAAAAATAGAGAAGATTGATAGGTAGAAGAGAAAAAATTACACATTCACTAATCAGAATAACTGTTAACGCCTTGATATATATTTCAGTCTCTTTTCTATGTATATATACATAGAAAATTGTGCACTTAAACGTGCACAATTTCTTTATATATGGCAGTTTCTTTATTAAATTGGATTATACTATAAAAGCTTATACAATTTTTTTCATTTTTTTTTTTTTTTTGTCTTTTTGTCTTTTTTCCATGTCCGGCAACGGATCGCAACCCTCAGTGTTGCCCCCGTACCGGACCGGGGACCAGCAACGGGATTGCAACCCTCGGTGTTGCTCCCGCGCCTCGCTCAGCCAGTGAGCGGGAACCGGTCTGTATGTGGGATCCGAACCCTCGGCGGGAGCGCCGCCGCGCTTCCCAAGCGGCGCACTATCCAGTGCGCCACCGGGCTGGCCCTTTTTTTTCATTTTTTTAATCTGTCAAATGTTTGTACTAATTTTAATGGCTGCATAATATTTAATTTTATAAATATACCTTAATTTATACCTTTATGTTTTTTCCTTTTTCTTTTTTTTCACCATTGACTCAGATATATAAAGGTGAATTGAACTGTTAAGGAATATAGGTACCTTGATGGGCATGCAGTGTGAGGTAGTTGAAGCAGGGAGGTAGGGATTAGAAAGAAGGTGAAAATGCTTACATAAAACTGTCTTAAGTTATAGATTGCTTACATTCTATCTTATTTTTAAGAGTAATTTAGGGCCGGCCCGGTGGTGCACTGGATAGTGCGCCGCTTGGGAAGCGCGGTGGCGCTCCCGCCCGAGGGTTCGGATCCCACATACGGACCGGTTCCCGCTCACTGGCTGAGCGAGGCGCGGGAGCAACACCGAGGGTTGCAATCCCGTTGCTGGTCCCCGGTCCGGTACGGGGGCAACACTGAGGGTTGCGATCCGTTGCCGGACACGGAAAAAAAAAAAGACAAAAGACAAAAAAAAAAAAAAAAGAGTAATTTATAAGTATTTATTTAACTCTGATATGGTTATTTTCAAAAAATTATATGAAAATTGCATTAGATATATGTTGCCTTTGCTATTTTCTGAGCATTCAGCCAAATCTCTTGTTTACAGCTGGGTTCAAAATGCAGAGAACTCAAAGATATTCATTTCGGCCAGTGTTACAAGATCTCAGATGAAGGTATGATCGTCATAGCTAAGGGCTGTCTGAAATTACAAAGAATATACATGCAGGAAAACAAATTAGTAAGTACTTGTTATCCTTGTTTTTGTTTTGTTTCTAACCTTTGAATTCCTTAAACTGTGTTTATAAATTTTCTTCTATTTTCTTTTGGTGGTTGAGAGGCAAATACTACTTAATTGAAAGCAAAAATCCTCTCAAAACAATGATTTTATAAACTGATCATATAACTGAATAGGTGCTTATATGTGGTACTTGTTAAAAATTCCTCATTAGCATGTGAACTAATTCTGATAGTGAACTAACTCAGGTAAATTTGAAAACAGATTTATTTGCCAAACATAAGTCTGTAGTTGTAGTTCCTTCTGATTCCTCTAGGGATTATAATAATTCTAGATAGGATTTTTTTAATGTCCAGGAAAATGCACACTTGTGAAATAGAGCTTTTTACTTGCCATCATGGAATGTGGGATTCAATAAATTGGGGCAGATAATCTCGGTAATTACATAGATTTTATATTTTAAACACATGCATGTATAACTCAGACATAGTGTATTATCTTTAATATATTTAAAGCCATTCATTTATCTTTTATTGAGATGTAATTGAGATATAAAATTTACCCTTTTAAAGTGTAAAATTCATTGGTTTTTAGTATATTCACAAAGGTTTGCCATTATCACCAGTATCTAATTCTAAAACATTTTCATTATCACAGAAAGAAATCCTGTGCCCAGTAGCTGTCACTCCCCATTTCTGCTTTTCCTCTAGCCCCTGGCAATTGTTAAGTTCCTTTCTGTTTGTACAGATTTGCCTATTCTAGGGATTTCATATAAATGGAATCACACAATATGTAGTCTTTTGTGTCTGGTTTCTTTTAGTTAGCAAGGTTCATCCATGTTGTAGCATATATCAGAGCTTCATTCCTTTTTATGGCTGAGTGATATTCCAAAGCATTTAATTTTAATTTGATAGGTACATTGTACTGGTTAACAGAAAAAGTTGTTACTGGGGAGGCATTATTAGTAGGAGTTCTAAACATTCAAAAATAGTGCACTTGAAAATGTTACCAGGCTGATCCTGAATGTGTAGCATATTTACACAGAAGATTTGCTTTTTAAATTGTATCTCAAAAATAGAGATCTTTCTTGTTGCCCCTTTGAGTTATTTTATAAAATTTGATAAATATATCTCATATCTGAACTTAAGCTTTGAAAGGTCTCTTGAAGCATGAGCACTTCTAGTGAGATAATGCTATTTTCAAAAAAGATTCTAGTTAGAAAAATTGCAGCACTATGAATGAAAAGTAAATGCTTTGACTACGACATAGAATATTTACCCCTGAAATTATGTAGTAAAATACTTCACATTCCTCTTTACATTTAATATAAATATAATAATCACTGTTCAGAAAGTATAATGTTATAGAGTGAATTAGGTCTTCTGGGTCAGAGAGGCTGAATTTTTGAATCCTGTTATCTACTCACTTGCATTGCGACTCACTTGCATTGTGAAAGTTACTTAATCTTTTTAAACCTCATTTGTAAATGTGGTTATTGATATTTGTCTTTTTGAAAGTTGTGGTTTTAAGAATTAAATGACATAATATCCTCAAATTGCCTAATACAAACTCTGACCCATAGGAGACACTAAAATACCTGGTAGTTTTTATGGTAACATGACTGTATTTGTTATCTAACTGTTGGTTTCCACTTTACACTAAAAATAAAGTAAAGGATGTTAATCTCAACTTAAAATTTTTCTATTCCTCAAGTAATAGGGATATTTGTTGACTATGATTTGTCATATGAGAAATGTTTAGTAAACACAGAAAACGTTTTTATTGGCACATTAAAAAATTTTTAGCCAATGGTTTCCCAAAGAAATCAACTTTTTTTTGTTGTTGTTTATGTTTTGAAGGTTCTCATATGCTCATATTAGTGTTTTTCTAATATTGTGGTACATTAAAAAGATGTAATATCTTTAAATCCTAAGGGAATCAATCCATATTTAGTTTTATTCATTAAATATTTTTTCCCACTGGAAATTTGAAATAATTTTTCTAAATCTTAAAAGTTCAGTTCAATAAAATTCTCCCATTTAAGATTTTTAGAAAGGGAAATTTAGAATAATTTGAACTCCTTATTAGACAATTGAGTTATTGATAACTAACCTCAGATAGTAATTTTGCATTGTATTTTAAATATTTATGAAATAAGGAGAGATATTTAAATTCCTTGTAAAGCTACAATTTTAAGTAGATTGGGTGTTTTCACTTTGACAGATATTATCAGTCATGTAACGACAAATATTTTAAATTAACAGCTAATAGGGGTACTTACAGAGAACAGTATGTCTGAAAGGATGCCGACAGAATTTTGTGCTTTGACAAAATCAGTAGCCAAATTATTTTGCTAATTCTCTTAATAAATTGAGTTTTCTCAAAAAGAATAGTGGCACTTTATTGCGTAGTTTAAAAATAATCATAGCATAGTTTTATTTTTTTTAATTATGAACTTTTCTGACTTAAAATATCAAGTTAATCACTTTTTATACTTGGCAGTATTTGACCAAGTACACATCTTTTCATATTATATCTTGGCCTTTAGATGGCAGCATTGTCTTTGTATATTTTAGTGACTAGCTTTTGTGTCCTTTAAGGATATAATGCCTGTACAAGTTTTTGCTAATATTATGGTTCACTTAAAATTTTTGTCCTTTAGATAGTCTTAGTGGGAAAATTTCTTCTTGAAGTCATTTGAAATATTAGTTGCATCTAGAATGTTACAAGATGAACTTGACATTTTACATGTAGTAGCAAGATATTCAAACATTCTTATTTGTGGCACTGATTTAAGTGGGATAAACTTTAGAATAGGGGAAGGATTCTTGTGTTTATTAGAGGGAGAAGTTTTATTCACGTAGAAAGTGAAGAAATGATATGACATTTTAAGACTCAAATGAGTGATGGTGTAGCAAAGAATTGAGGATTTACATGTGGAATCTTCCCAAATTTGAATGAGACAAGTGCCGTGCACCTACATGAATGTATTTTGCATTTGCTATAAAACTCTCATGTAGACTATAGAAATAGATTTGAAGAATATACCTATAGTGAGGGTCTAGCATACTCATCTGTCTCTCTTCTAGTGATGGCCACAAAACAGTGGCAAGTACTGTACAGAGTGATATAAAAGCGTTATAATAATTGATGATCTAGAAACCTCAATAAGTCTATTCTCTATGCTTCTTTACTCTGCCTGCACCAGATTCTGTGTCTCAACTTTTTGGACAGAGAAGTTCTTTGGGTGGCTTTTTATTTGGTTGTAAAATGATGGGGTTGGATAGATTATCTGTCATTTGTTATACTGCCTGATGTTTTAAAGCACTGGAATTTTATGATTTCTTTCAAAATAACTTCTGTGCTAAATCCTAGGGTCAGCATATTTGGTATAGATTTGTATGTGTTATGTGTGTATTTGGTCTAATTTTTTATACCTTCTACTCTGGAGAGTTGGGTTGGGAATTAGTTCACTTATCAAGAGAATAGTAATATATTATGAATAGATTCTAGAAAGTTTTAGGGAAATAATAAAGATTTCCTGTTTAAAACTTGATTTCCTGAAAGTTAATTGTAACCTTTTATTTTCAGTTTCCTGGTTAATTGATACTTTACTAGTTTTGTATTCTGTGACATCTCTTAGAGTCTTTTGGCTGCTGCTGTAACAATATTGTTTTAAGTTTTATTATTCTTTGGAGGATTACATGGATGAGGTAAGATCTAAATTCACCTCTCCAGGCTTTCTTCTTCCAAACTGGAAGCTTTAAGGGGAGATTGAGGCAAACGCCAGTTTTGAGTCACACTGAACTCACTTCAGACCTTGATCTTGCCGTCTTTTACTCATGTGACATGGGTTAATTATCTTAATTTCTACACTTTCATTTCCTTCTTTGCAGGAAGGATATAATACATTTTCAGACATGTTCTTTTGAGGATCGTAAATGAGATTAAGAGGTTGTATTAGTCCTTTTCTGTTGCTTGTAACAAAATACACGGAACTAGGTAATTTGTAAGAAAACAAAATTCATTGCTTACAGTTTTAGAGGATGGAAAGTCCAAAGTCCAGGGAAGACATCTGGTAAGGGTCTTCCTTGGTAGTGGCTTCAGTGATGCGGGGGTCTCATGTGGCAGAAAATGGTGGAGCAGAGAGAGTCTCTCATGTGCTCTTCTTTTAAAGCGCTCAGAACCATGCTCCTGACCACCACTATTAATCCAGTCACTACAGCATGGTCCTACAATCTAATCACCTCCTCAAGGCCCCACCTTTCAGTTACCATAATAAGATTTCCCATCCTCTTTACACTGTCACAGTGGAGACTACGTTTTGGAGGGACATGAATTCACAGCAGTGATAGAACACCAAATGTGTTTCATGGCCCCAAACACAGGAAGACTTCAACAAAGGTTTTCTTTCTTTCCCTATCATTGTTTGCTGTTCCTAGTCTACCAATTTGAATTGGGCTGCATCGGTGCTTAGTATCACCTGCTGTGGTCTGATGTCACCCCTTAGCCACTAACAGTTTAATTCTTTTTTTTACTGTTTGCTGTAATGAGGTTGCAGCAGTTAGGTGAATAGACTGGTAAGCATGTTGATCATCAGCTGGGGCGGTATGTAAGATAAACATTTGTATCAGAGTTTAAATAGCAATAGTTAATTCAGGATTATATTAAAGCTTGCATTTCTTGAATATTATAACTCTTCAGCATAGAGCTAATATATTAAGGGGTTTTATATATTAGAGTTAATATAAGGGGGCTGGTTGACCCTCTGTCCCCGATTCCTCCACTCCTGGTATCTTGTTTCTCAAACACTCCTTGTGAAGTGAGGTTACTTGTAATTCCAGATATAAATAATTTACATCTGTGAGGGATTCTGTTTTCTAAGTACTTACTTCAGCCTCTAAAATCTCCCAGGGTAGATACTCACCTTTAGTGCTCTTTCCTCTCTTAATGGATTGGGCCATTACTTAAACCCAGAATGGTAGTTTCCAGTGAACAGTGGT